AAGAAAAAAAAAAAAAAAAAAAAAGAGGCTTTTGAGTTTCCTCAGAAAAAGCCAAAAAACATGCTTGCTTTCAGCATGAACATAGGAGGCGCTGTTGAGTTCTTATGCAATGCTATTAATGTAACAGCGCCCCCTGTGGTCAAAAGCAACAATAAAGATGAGCATCTGCTCGGATGTTCCAGATTTTTTCACCTTTCTTGGCTCCGGTTTTGTACAGCTGCCACTCGGCTTCAGCTTCCGGCGTCGTTCCAAAAAACTCTCCAACACACAGCAGCAACTGGTGGAAAACAGATGTGAAAATCACCACAACTTAAAGACGATTACAGGTGTTTTAATATGATAACTTAACACACAGTTCTATACAATGATCTACCAGGTCATTGAAGGTAACAAGAAAACATTTAAGGGGATGGATGGGGGAAAACTTAGATGGAAAAAAAAAAGAATAAAAAGTTTTATGAGAAACAAAATGAGATATTTACCAGAAAATGTCTGTAAGGACAAGTCTATAAACAAGTGTGTGTTGAAAATAAATAAACCGGTTGATTTAGAAGAAAAAAACGCAAAATTGCCAGAAAAAAAGAGAAACAGCTGACAAATTCATGTAAAAGCAACTGACAAACTTACAGAGGAAAACTGGTAAAAGAATAGAAAATGGCAAATTTCTAAGAAAAAGCTTACTGTAAAAAAGGCAAGTCTATGTGGAAAAAGGACATGTATGAGGAAAAACAAATTATGATAAAAATGTAATAAATTAAAATAATTTTTAAAAAAGAAAAACATTTAAAATAAAATCACAGCTAGTATAACAAGAAAAAACTGTCAAATTTACATAAAAAAAAAACTAAACAGATATAAAACCCCACAAATCATTAAAAAAAAAAATTAAATGATAACTGGATAATGTGACGCATCTGACTCACATCAAACTGCCCAGTCTTCTTCTGGATGGCCTGGACTCGGTTGAACAAAGCGTTCAGACGGCCTTCAACGTCCCCACACGCCAAACTAGAAACACGCATGTTTTAATATTTTAACAATCAAGACAATTCATAGATGATTTCCTCTGGAAAACATCAGACAGTCTCCAAACATCTGTTGTGTTTTTGGGACTTGAATGATGCCTTACTCATTGGTAAAGTTGGACACTGAAACATCAATAGCACAAAGTGCCTCTTTTATTTTTATTTATTTATTTATTTTTAGAAAGAGGAACAATACATATTAATGAACATTTTAACAAATGTAAATATGCCAGATTATAGCCTTGGGCTAATTTCCATCTGCAGACCCTCTGGCAGGTTGGTGTTAAACACAAGTTAGTAAAAACATACAGAGACACTATTTACAGGTCATGTGACAAGGACAAAAACAGTGATCACATTATACTAGAACAAACAATGACAAGAAGAGTGGACACAGAGGACAGAAACACATCAATTATATTGCACAAACCCCAGTATTGCACATGCCCTGACTGTCGTGATATTGCGTTCACCCATTGCACTAACAGTTGTTTTTACCTTTTTGTAATACACCAACTCTTTTTCCCATCCAATATAAAGCATGATTATTAAACATGATCACATGTTTGCGTGTCCCTCAGCCGCCCTTTTAAGGGACTCTTAAAGATGGGTAGACTTGTACTTTCCCTCACTGACAGTGGAAGACTATTCCAGAAGCTCACTCCCTGATCTGACAGAGCATTCTGTGAAAAGGTGGTCCGCCTGAATGCCAGTTCACAATCACCTCTAACAGTGGCTCGAGTCAGTCGAGACCCGGCAACACTGCTAGACTTTTGTTTAATAAAATCACTCATTGGTGGAGGCGCCAGACCATGTATAACTTTGTATATTAGACAGGCAGATTTAAATAATTTGAAATTAGTAAAATTTAAAAACTTGTATTTTTCTAAAATTTGACAATGGTGATATGAAAAAGGTTTTTTATCTAATATTTTCAATGCTCTTTTGTAGCATACTTCGATTGGACCAATAGCAGCAGAGTTCGTATTAAAATAACATTAAAATAAAATAAATCAACAGAATTCATGGATATCATTCTGTTTAATTAAAATGACGTTAATATATTCTGGTAAAGTGCAGATTTTTCACCACAAACTGCAAATATCAAACATGCCTCTACGTCACATGGTATGACGTAAATAAATGTGGAGACTGTTTAATGCAACCTTGAATCATGCAAGTTTTTAACGAGGTTCTGTATATTTCAGTGTAATACATTATGCCGAAATAAAAGTGATGACCTCGTATATTTTCAAACCTTTAAACACATTTTACATTAGGCGGACGGCTTTAGAACCTATCCTGGGGGTGGATGAACACTGACGTTCAGCAGTGAAACGCGTATTTATAACATATAAATCTGAAGTTAATAAGAAACGCTTAAAATTTTTGAAATTTGTTTTAAGTCTGATGAGAGTGGTCACATTTTTGCATCTAAACAGTTCCGAAAAAGTCAACAATTACAAGACCCTGACCCGGTGAGGTTTACACGCCTGTTAACGGAAGGGTTTTCATATTTTTCTTTTATCAACGTGTTTGTATTAGAAACGGAGATCCTCTAACATCATAGCTGAAACAACATAATCAACATGGACAACATAAACAGCATCGATTTAACCAGAAGCTACATTTAACCGGACGCTGCGTCCTGTGTTCACTGAGCAGACTTACACTCTGAGCGGCTGCTCCTCCATGTCCCTGAGCAGATTTTTACTCTAAATCTTAAAATGTGGGATTTGGATTTTAGCAGCTTCCATTAACCGCCCGTCGCTAGTAACTGTCCGACTAAAACAAAGGCGGAACTATTTGTAATTTACGAAGCGGGAGTACACGCGGCTGCGCGAGACACACTAAGAAAGACAAACATTTATTAAATTAAAAATGATAATTTTAATTTCTAAAAACTACAAGAGAAGTAGCTCAAACAGTAAGAAATATTCCATGTGGCTACCCGGACAGATTTCAGTGCGGAAATAGTTGTTGCCAGGTTTGATTTGAGTGGTTTGAAGAAGCTGCCGTGTTTCAATACGTTGTTTCTGTTTTTTCTGTAGTTTACACCTGTTCTTAAATCCACTCAGCTCTGTAATCCTGATTTTACTCTGTTTTAATCATTAAATCTGCAGTGTGTTTGTTTATTTTATTTATAATTCATATCAATAATGGGACAGAAGACTAACGAATGAATGAATTAAAGGACTTCACCAGGGAGGTAAAATCAAGCATTAACTAACAAAATAAGCAAATAAAAATAAAATTCTAAGACTTTAAATAGTTAAATTAACTGGAGTATGGGTCCTACTCGGGATACAAACTGAATGTACAAAAAACACAAGTTCTCAGTAGTTTCTATAGAAAGCCCTGATAGATACTTTGCAGAATGGGATAGGATCCTCTCCAGATTTATATGGGCGGGTAAAAAGCCAAGAGTTAAGTTTAAAACACTTTAGCTTCCCAAGGATAGAGGAGGACTGGGCCTCCCTTGCCTACATGACTTATTATAGGACAACCCAAATAAGGACTCTGGTGGTGTAAACCTGGATATTGTTCAAGATGGAAGGAAGTGGAATTTTCCTTGGGAGGCAACTTCCCTATCGGGGCACTGATAGGAGATCCCTCAAAGTTACGTCTCCTGGGAGCCCCGGGCAACCCTGGGATGGTAAGCTCAATAAAGACATGGAAAAGAGTACTTAAAAAGTATCAATTAAATCACAGAGCTAGATTTCTTAGGTGGTGGGCTAATAAAGGTCTCACCACATACAGTACCTTGTTGAAAGACGGAAAAGTGATGAGTTTCCAGGACCTTAAGAATAAGTTTGGGTTGCAAAATCAAGACTTTTTTAGATATTTGCAACTGAGGGACTTCCTGAATAAAAGCTAAAACATCACCAGTTATCGACTGGGAATGAAGAAATTATTTACATATTCGAGAATGCATTTAGAGATGCACTCTATCAACAAATTATTTCTATATTATATCGTTCACTGAAAACCTAAGGGGTCATGATACAAGATATGTTAAAGCAAGATGGGAACAGAGGGTAATCTATCCCTAACAGGAGAGGAATGGGATGGGATCTGTAGGCAGCAGTGGTCGGTAACAAGCGCCTCCTCGTGGAGGGAATTCAGTTGGAAGAATGTCATTCATTATTTTAATACCCCGGCTCAAAAATCCAATTATTCCCATAAGACAACATGCTGGAGGCAGTGTGGACATGCAGCAGCAAGTCATTTCCACATTTTTTGGGAATGTCCTTGTGTGGCTCCATTTTTGAAGGAAATACATAAGGTCCTGGAAACAATCTTCCAAAAGAAAATACAATTTAATTTTGCAGTATTGTACCTAGGTAACTTAGAGTCTTAAACTATGTAAAGCGGATAAATATTTGTTCAGTGTGCTGTTGGTAGCTTCCAAAAAGGCCATAACCCGTTGTTGGCTTAATGAGGATACTCCTACTATAAATGAGTGGACTGACGTGATATATACTATTTTTGTTATGGAAAGAATAACTTTTAGGCTAAAGTTGCAGGCGGACTCATTTGACGAATACTGGTCGAAATGATTGAACTATGTACAAAATGGGAGGCCCGATTTTGTAGAATCTCGTTGTATTTTGTGGTTTGTTTGTTTTTGTCTTGTTCCCCCCCCAACACACACACTGTGATGAAGTTGTATTGTTGTACATGTTGTATAAATAAGAAAACCAATAAAACACAAATGAGAAAAAAACTTGTTAAATTAAAAAAAAACAACAACAACTCATCACACATTTGCCAGAGAAAAATGCAAAATTCATGAGGGGAAAGACAACCTCGTATTTTTTACTCTTACAACTTTCAGTTTTATTGATTTGTTACATGTTTTAATCAAACAAAAATGTGTTTTCCTTTTTACCTTTTTATGGCGCTTCAGTCGTAGATGTCGTTTATTAAAAACCATGAAATATAATTAACATAGGCATGAACAATTTACGGATACTGTACGGACCTGGCAACCCGCTGGCCTTCGCGCAGCCGAGCCTCCATCCTGGCACTTACCTTCATCCTGGTAACTTGCAAGTTCCCGGACTAAAAACAGGAAGTAAGTAGCCAAATCAAAAGTAAAATTCACCGTCTGTTTGGTAGTCGAAGCCAGTGAGAGGTGCGGAGAAAACTCGGAGCCGTAAAAACTGCACCAAAGCCGAGAATAAAGCGCAAAAACAGTGTCAAACTGCACAGACGCCATAAGCTGCAGCTTGTCGACTAACATGGCGCCGGAGAGTTTTCGTCTTTCATTCAGCTGCTTAGCTTTCAGCAGGCTAACGGTTAGCATGGAGTCAGCGGCACTGAGTGTTGGGAATGCCGGTCTTTGTTCGTATCACATTACAGCTTCTGTGTTAGAACAGCGCTGGTCTCTTTTCTAATATTCATGTAAGCGTACCATTAAAGATGCGTTAGTCTGCGCAGAATCGATCTTTTCATCAGTGTAAATAACGATGCACAGCAGCGTCCGCCAAACTCCGTTTAAAAACCTCCAAATTTGATAGAGTTTTGATAATTAAATGCCAGTAAACATATCATTGATCGTAAATTGAAGGAAAACATTAAAGACTTAAATTCTGTGAACTCGCTGTCAAAGAAATGCGGAATATTTGAAAATAATTTACACCTTTCTTTGTTTGTTATATTTCCCCTCAAAACAGTGGGGGGCGGCAGCGAGCAGGGTAGAATTATTACATTTTATAAATCACGTAAAAAATGATAGGTACTCCCCTGAATTTACCGGCCGCATCTGATAATAACAAATGTTATTATACTTTATTGTTGGGGAAAAGAACTGTGAGCATTCAATTTTTCTTTTAATCCTTCTGTTTTTCAAAGGAGCTTGGCGTGTACACAATAAAAGTAACACATGTTAACTTGTATGGTTTACAGTATTTATTGTCTTCATAAACCGGTGTAAGATCACATGCATCACACATCTACAGTGACACTGCTGGAACTGAGTCACAGTGATGGCGCTTAGCTTAAAGTGTCAGATTTCAGAAGGGAGTTCTGACTGTGATTTTTAGTTTAGTTGCCTATCAGCTCTTTTTCATTATAAAAAACATCTGCTAAAACATTTGATACTTTCATTTTTGCAAACTCAGCATCATAACATGTCTTAAAAATTACAAAAGCAACACTTCTATACCTCACCTAAAATTAATAAATGATGTTTTATTTACCGTGTTGTGCTTCTTTTTATTAAGAGGGTGCTAACTGTGCCATGCGCATTGTTTTTATTATTATTATTGTTGTTGTTGTTATTATTTTATCACTGTCAGTGAAATTTGAGTTTTAGGCAGTTAGTGTGATTTTTTTTTATGTATATAATATATGTACATATTTATAAAATATAATTATGTGATCAATCACCCAAATGACCCATTTGGAGCTAGAAAAACCCTGATGGTTGGACAGAAAAATGACTCACTTGGAAAGTGACATTTTATTACAATTTTTTTTAAAGAAGCAAATAATTAACAAGCTTAATCAGGACTGAGATTAGTCATTAGTCAGATCTAGTGTGTAGAAATCTTGATTTTCCCATCTTCAGGCACCCACAGAGTCAAAATCCGTCCCAGTCCTTGCAGATCTTTGCTGTAAATAGTTTTTCTTATGAAGGTTTCTAACTGATTGAGGTGACCCTGAGGTGTTTGATGCCAAAATAACAGCCGGTTGAACCCTGTAAATACCAAAGAAGCTGCTTCAGCACTTCTTCTATTATATCATTGAGTATAGCAGACGCTGATCAAGAAAAAAGAGAATAATCCTATATAGGGCGCCTCTAACTTACAAGCCGCTTTGCAGCCTACTATGAACATACCAAATTGTGATAATTTGGTGTGTTCGTAGAGAAATTAGTACCTGAGAACACCTGTGGCTGTGAAATCGCTCTGAGTTCGTCTTTGTGTCTCTCTGCAGCTGCAGGATGAGTTTAGCAGCAGAGGACGACGACGCCGGCGCTTTAGAAACCGTCAAATCTGTCACGCTCACTCAGGACAGTGATGGAAGCATCATACTGCACTGTCCTCCCTCTGGTGGGTCCACACACACACACACACACACACACACACACACACACACACACACACACACACACAAATCCCATCAGTAACTAATCAGTACACTTAAAGTATGTTCAGGGTTTTTAATTTTAACATTCTGTGTGGTGATTTTGATTAAATTTAAACACTTTTTTTTTTAATTGTCACATTTATTTATTTATTTATTTATTTTTGCTCCTGTGGGTTTGTTTCTCTTACACTGCACCTGAGTGGAAACAGAACAGCCAGGGTTCAAATTTGTGATGTTTTCTTGTCATTTTTCCTATAAATTTGAGCGTTTTCCTCATATATTTCATTTTTTAAGTTTTTTTGAATTTTTTTAAGGCATGTAAATTGGTCATTTTTTTCTGATAATTTGTCTTTTCTTCCTCATAAATGAATTTTTCTCCTGATAATTTTCCAAGTTTTGAAATTACCCAATTTTTTAAAAAAAAATTGTTGTTTTTTCTAATAAATGTGACACTTCTTAAAACGTATACGTAAGAAAAACCCAATTAATATAAAAGTGAAACTAAAAATAACAACAAAAACTTTAGATGATGTTTTTGTCAGATTAAGGCTATAGAAATAATTGTGTGTGTGTGTGTGTGTGTGCAGACGAGGACTCGGAGCCACTCCAGAAGAAGCTGCGACTCTCCACACACGAGCAGGAAAACTCGGACACGCCTCAGTTCTCCGTGGTCACGTTGCCAGGTCAGACGAGCGCTGGACCGTTCCCTGTTCATGACTACAGTGAGTCACACTGAAATCACCTCACACGGTTCCTGCTAACAGCTGCTGCAGCTGCATCCTGATCAGAGGGTTTTCATTTACTCAAACTCTAAATTTACTCAAATCCAGCAAAAATAACAGAAAATACAAGTGAGGTAACTCAGATTGTTCAGATCCTGGTCTCCTTAGCCAGAAAGTACCTGCTGGTGATGTCATCATCCTCATGCTGGTTTATGGTGTATGCTGTTAATGTCTGCATTAAATGGCACAAATAAAGCTTCAGATATGTGAAGTTGTTTGGGATAATAAGGTTCGAGGGTAAAAGATTTTCCGTGTCGTTTCTCAGTGTCGGACACTCAGGCGGAGACCTTTGAGGTGACGATGACGCCCACGGCGGACGAGCTCTCTGAGGACAGCGTCACTCAGATTCAGGTGGTGCTCAGGCTCCTTTTTTCTTATTCTAAGCGTTCTGTGTTTGCTCTGTGTAGTTTCCTGTAAGGATGAGCCACCAGTTAAAAGTGAGCTGTTTCTACTTTAATAAAAACAAAGTGGCGGAAAACAAAAAGGAGTTTTATTTATATGAAATGGATTAAATGTAAGAGAACGGGGTGTGACTGAACAGAGGTTTTCATTTTGATCACTTTGTGTTTGCAGATCCTACAGGAAGATGAAGACTCCCTCTCAGCCAATCAGAAGACGGAGGTGTCGCCTGTCAGTCAGGCCTGGTTCACAACTAAAGAAGACAAAGACACGCTGGCTAATAAAGGTACCAACGAGGCCAGAACCTCTGTAGCAGACAGTGAATGCAGCTCACTGAGAGGCTTAGAGAAAACAGCACGGCCCAAAAGAAGTCAGACTGTTTGGAAGTCTGTGTGAAAATGAGCTCAGTGAACTCTTTCCTGATGACTTCATGGTGTCAGACTCTAGTTTAGAGTCCCGTTGAAGACAGCATGATGTTTATTTAGGACTCCTACTGCACACCTCGTAGTCCGCCTCGATGGATGTTGGAGTCCGTTAGCAGCAGCAAAGTACACAATAAAAAGTTCTAATAAAGCCAAACTTAACAAAGGAAAAAAAAAGTCTGGTTAAAAGCTGATTTTTCTTCTCCTTTTTGACTTTAAATGAAACCAGAATGTATAAAATAAACATAATTTTTTACTCAAACCAGCGACTGGAACCATGAACTCCTCAGGAAAGACTTTCATATGGCTGGAGTCCAGACGAGTCGCCCCCTGCTGTTCATTAGAAACAATGCAGGTTTTCATGTCTCTTCCTTTTCAGGTCATAAGTGGAAACAGGGCATGTGGTCTAAAGAGGAGATTGACATCCTCATGAGGAACATCGACCAGTATGTGAAGGTACGTGGGGTTGGTCCCTGACATAATTTCTGCCTCTGTGACGTCTGATGACGTTAAACTGTTCTTGTGGCCACGATCTCAGGGCCGCGGCATCGAGGACCCGGCAGAGATCATCTTTGAGATGTCCAAAGAGGAGAGGAAGGACTTCTACCGCTCCGTGGCGTTGGGATTGAACAGGCCGCTGTTTGCCGTCTACAGACGAGTCCTCCGGATGTACGACAACCGCAACCATGTCGGCAAGTGAGTGCACAGAGAAAAGATGGTGTAAGAAAGGCAGTGCAAGTTTGTTGGTTTTTGTTTAAGGAGTGGTTTGTGTCTTAGGTACACTCCTGATGAGATCGAGAAGCTGAAGGCGTAAGTACAACTTTGTTTTTAACGAGCGCTTGATGACCGTGTAAAATGGATTTCACACTAACCCGTGTTTATATGTGATGCGTTTAGGTTGAGGGAGAAACACGGGAACGACTGGGCGACTATCGGTGCTGCACTAGGTCGCAGTGCATCCTCTGTGAAAGATCGCTGCCGGCTGATGAAGGACACGTGCAACACAGGTACTGCACAGCAGCCGTTTGTACTTGTAGAGATATTTAAATGCTTGCTTTTATTTTGAAATTCGCTCTGTTTTTAAAAACCAGGTAAATGGAGCGAGGACGAGGAGCGACGGCTTGCCGAGGTCGTATACGAGATGGCAGGGGTGTCACCGGGGTCGGCGGTCACAGGAGGCGTGTCATGGGCGACGGTGGCTGATCGAGTCCGCACACGCTCAGAAAAGCAGTGTCGGTCTAAATGGCTGAACTACCTGAACTGGAAGCACAGTGGAGGAACTGAGTGGACGAAGGAAGATGACTTGAATCTTGTACGCAGGTACGGCGGTGTGGGCGTGCACACGTGTGTATGAGCGAGCATAGTAAACCATGTGTAAGCTTGATACCGTGTTTCAGGATATCAGAGCTTGATGTGGATGATGAGAATGAAATTAAGTGGGAGGATCTCGCCGGCGGATGGAGCAGCGTTCGATCACCCCAGTGGCTCCGATCAAAGTGGTGGAGCATCAAGAGACAAGTGGCCAATCACAAGGACATCCCCTTCAGTGGTATGGATACACACACACACAAATTAATACCGTCATTTATTTCCTCATGTTAAGATTCTCTTCTTCTATTATTAAAATCTCGTGATGTGGTTTCCGTCTCTAGTCCTCCTGAAGGGCCTCCAGGAGCTCATGGCCTCCTCGCAGTCGGCATCTGTTCCGGGCAGCCCCTCCTCCCTTCAGATCCGACTCACCCGATTAGACGAGAACAGTGGCGGAGCCAGCCCCGCCCCTAGCTCTGTGGCTGCACTGCAGATTCCCTTACAGATCCCGCTGCAGATCACACACCTGGGTGAGCCTCGCACGCCTGCACTACACCACCCACATGTTCACTTCCTCTGCGTGTGCTGCTGCTGTGGCCACACTATTTTTTTTTTTTTATGGAGATACTAAACCACCATAGAAGAAGAAGAATTAGAACCAGACTACGCTGATGAATCAGAGAAGAAGGTGACTGAGGTTTACCTGTTGGACAGCGTGTAACAGGTGTGCTGCCTGCAGCTGAAGATGTTCTTGTCCTGACAGCGAGACCTCTGACTGTTGCTCTGTTTGTGTTTCTGTGTTAGCGTCAGATTCAGCGGCAGCAGCTAGCGACAGCGAGACCATCACACTGAATGCTGGAGCGCTGCAGACCTTTGAGATCCTGCCGGTAAGCACCACGAGCGCCTTTCACAATAAGATACATGAATATGAATGAATTTAAAACCTTTTCTTTGTGCAGTCGTTCCACCTGCAGCCCACCGGCACCCCGGGAACCTACTACCTCCAGACGACACCCAATCAGGGCCTTCCATTGAGCTTAGCCAATAACAGCACCGTTACCCTGACGACGAGCTCCTCGCCCTCGTCTCATGAACACATTATCCTCCACAGTCTGTCGGTCAGTTTATTGCCCTGCTGAGGGTAAACGTGTGTGTGTGTGTGTGTGTGTGTGTGTCTTTTCACATGCTTTCCATCTCCAGGCCGACAGTCTCTGCTCCAGCGATGGCGTCATCATCCAGACTGTCGCCTCTGACCCCGCCTCCTCCTCCTCTGAAGCCCTCAGCCAGCAGCAGCTGGTGGTGGAGACTGAGACCCGGGGCCAGGACGATCGTCTCGACGCCGCAAGTCTGTTGGAGGGGTCGGAGAGTGTCGTCACGGAAACTCAGGAGCCAATGACGAATGGCTTCAGTGACACAGACAAAGTAGAAGCTTCTGTTTTTCCTCACACGTTGTTTGCATGCTTTTAATTCGAAAAGCTTCTGTTAGTATCGTTCTGTTTTTGTTGAGAAATAAAGGGGTGGACAAAATAATAGAAGCCAGTTTTGTGGATTAAAACTTTTTTATGACCAGAATATGTAAGAATTTTAACTTAAACAAAACAAATAGATATATTTGTACAGTGAGAAAAAACAAGGGGGGAGGGTGGGGTCACAACACAACCAAGTCAGCTGTGTTGTCCTTGTACCCAGAGGGAGCACACAATGATGACTGAACAATACAACAGTGTGTGTTTGTGTGTGTGTCAGGGCCTGCGTTCCCCCCCGATGGAGGCTCCAATGGTGCATTCTGGGATAACGTCTGGGAGCGCCGTGCTGATCGTGTCTCCTCCCAACATCAGTAGCACACTAACGGGTAACACGCACACACAGTTAAAGTAGAACGTAACTGCGAATCTATGCTCTGCCTCCTGTCAGTGAAACTATGGCAACCGTGACCCATGAGGCTCAGCATCTCCTTTACTGCTCAGAGACGAGTCCCTGTGTGCTGCGTGCGCTGCTTTAAATTCAAACTGTTTGATTGGGTTTTTAAGCCTTCGTGTCTTTTAAATGATGAGGTTGTGCTTTAGTGTCCACGCCACCCAGCTGTATGGCGGGGTGGTGAAAATACCCAGGCTTCCAAATCTGATGCCCTCTACCCCTGTGGTGCACTTGGAAATTCTGATGATTAAAAATAGAAAAATAAATTAAAGAAACATGAATTGTTTAACATGAAAAATATAGCCTGAAGTTTCTCTCTAAGTGTGTAATCAGAGTATTCATACTGCTGCACGAATTTCACCTGAGCATCACTTCCTTTCTGTTTTTCATCAGATCCCATCTTGGAAAACCAGGAAGTCTCTGACTGAGTCGGACTTCCCGCTGCAGCTGTCGCTCAGGGCGACACCTCCACCCTTGGGCTTGACCCGGCATGTCAGACTGTGATACTCCCTCCTCTCCTGCTTCCAGTTTCCTCTTTAACGGATGCAAGCACTTTAAAACTAAACGGAACATTTTTGGAGTCCCTGAATGAAATGACCGCAGTGCCAAAGAGACTCTAAAGCCTGGACACTTTATGTGAATGGACCCTTGGATCTGAAAAATCATCCTTTTTCATTTTACATGAAGTTGTTTTGTCGGGCTGGTGACAATGATCAACAGAACTCAAAGGAATAGTTCAATGTTACACATTTTCCACCTGTTTTTTCATGACTTAAGTACACCTTTATTTATTTATGCTCATTTTTGAAGACTTTAAATCGTAAACTGCTGTTTTCAGCAGGAACTTATGTGAAATTTTAAAGTAAAAAAAAACATAATCCTGAAGCTGTGGTCAGGTTGGCTTTTATTGTGAAAGGCTGGGCTTATTTGCCCTAAAGAGGTTTATCCTGTTCCTCTGTAACACACAGCTCTGTTTCTATTGTTTCATAGCTGGTAACGCCTGTAACACCCGCTGGATTTATCCGCAGCTGAAAATAGTCCCTCAGAGAGCATTCATTCCAACAGATGGCGCAGAGATGGGAGTGCTGCTGGTTTTGATGTTTTTTGTGAGTTTTGCTTGAACTGGTCAGAAGTTATAGCTGCCCACAGAGGCAGTGATTTCTTACGGTTGGTGTAAACAAAAGCAGCCTTGCATGATTAATGAGGAATCCAGTTTATAGTCTGGTTTGGTAATTCTGGGCGAACCAGCCCTTTAAACAGGCCGGTTGGAGGATTTACTCCAAACTAATTAAGCACCAGGGTTCTTCTTGCCATTGTTCCCTGGTTGCTAATGCTGCCTCGTGCTGTGGACGGATCAGATTCTACCTGATCATCGTTCAACCTACCAAACGTCGCTACTAGTTAGTTTTCTGTCTTCTTTCTGTTAGGTTTATTATCTTTAGATGGAAAATAACCTCCCGCTCCTGTTTTTTTTTTTTTTTTACTTTATTGAAAAGAGGATCTGAAGGCTTTTAAACCCTCGATGGTGTTTTTTGGAAAATTGGAAAACTGAAAACCTTATATGAATAACAGGTCATAAAGCAGGAGCAGCAGGACGAATGGATGCTTGAGGACTGAATGGATCTGAAACAGCCAGATTAATAACAGTGACACAGCTTTATGGGTAAAGCCATTTACAAAGCTTTCATTCATTTCCACGGGTGCTACAGCTGGCCTGAGAGAGAAAAAGGGTAGAGAGAGAGTGTGTGTGATTTAGAAATGCTTAGTGCAAAGAATTGGCAGTCGGTGTAATTCGGCATTTAACTCCAACTTAAAATCCTCTCAGCCACATGTGGACAGTAATTACATACACGGTTATCAGAAGCCGACAGACGGAGAAAACACAGGTTTGCATATTTCCGATGTGCTGCTACAGCCGCCTGCTAACGTCTACAGTACTGAACTGCTGCTTCCCTCCATGCTCACAGCCTGCATCCAGGTTAAAGGAAAAGCCCACCTGGTTCTCACCTGAGCAGGTAACAGCAGCAGAATACATCTGAATTTGGGCTGAGGACAGAAAGCCCCCTGAATGCACCACTATGGGTTTTTATATTAGTTAATGGTAACAGACCACACACCACCATTAGCTTCCGTTTTCTCTCCTGAGAAGGGGTGGTGGTGGCATGGCATACTATAATCCATAATTAGCAGATTCTCAGACTAACAGATAAGATGAGGTTATGGTATGACAGTGGCCTGGTCCTTTGTTCCCTTTGTGAGCTTCTCTATGTTTGAATTGTTCTGAAGAGTCCACTTTGGAAGTAGATTTAGGATAAAACATGTTTATGCCTTCATAATGTCCACAGTCTGTATATAAACGATGGACATGGCCATTGTGACGTCTCAGGTTTGTTGGGCACCACCATGGTTCATCTCTGCCGCAGCTGTTAAAGGTTTGAACAGTGTATCAGGATAAAAATATGTTTATTTCTGTGTTTTAACAAGGGAGTCTACCGACTCACTGCTGGTGCCAGCCTCTAGTGGCCACTACAGGTTTTGTTTTTGGACACTTCCTCTCTGGTGTTGTCGGCCCCTTAAATATGAGTGGGGTGGGAAAAAACAGAGCGAAGCTGGTGAGTAAAGGAGCTCTCTGACATCCAGCCTGCATTCCTGCCTCCTGCTGTCCTGTTAATGGGACCTTTGATGGCGTTTTGTTGGAGTTTAATGATCAAAACTCATATCTTTAAAGAACTGCAGATCAAACGTGAGAGTGAAGGAAAGATAAATGTAAAAAAGACGTCAGATTTAAAGCGACTCTGAGAATCAGAGGTGGATTTTTCGTGCGTGTAAACAGTCGACTGTGTGTTGTTGTGTGTTGTGCTCCAGCAGTTTGTCGCCTCTTACAGTACATCATCATCATCATCCCACACTGAGTCAAGTCTCTGTGCACAGTTCCCACTGGTGCTGATTCCACACCAGGTTCAAGTTTATGTAACAGTTATTATTTTGGTCATGTGACTCCTTCACGCTGGTCCTGCTCATGACGGCTACGTGTTCCCTTGTTCCCGCTTCCTTGGCCCTGCCTTTACCTGACGTCATGGAAGTAGAGGTTGGCACATATACACAGCAGCACGATGGACGCCAGCATGAAGTAGATCAGATTCCTGAATTTGGGCTCCAGGTTGCCCTGCCGGTACCAGAATATCTGCAAGACAGAGAACAGACGTTTAAAGGCTCCCTTCTGTGACCCGGCGACCTTTGCGTGAGCATTTAGCCATGTTTGTTTACCAGCACTAACGTAGAGCTGCAGGTCAGCAGGATGCACACGGCGAAGAAGATGTTCAGCGGCCGCGGAGGCATCGTGGGAAACACAAAGGAACAGATGACAGTCACCTGCAAAACAAATGCTCATGAATAAAAATACATGCTAGTGAACATACGTCACTCTTCTGTACGTTCTTTTGAGCACAACCTGCATGAAGCGACAGTCGCAGCCAGAGATGGTAAAGACTTCTGATAGCTGTGGTTGCTAACACTTTTGGTCGTGCAACCGTTTTGCAGTCAGCTGACATGAACTTGTCCATTCTGGTCATGCGACACAAACTGAAAGCGTTGTCCTTGAAAGTAAGGGTTTGATCTCAGGGCTCATGTTTCAAAATGTGCAACTTTTACTTTGAAGGTGAATGTTCCATTTTCTGTTTGCCCCCCACTTTTTGGGGTTTTAATGCCGTTCCACTCAGTGAGTGTTTGCAGATATGCTGATGTCTCGTGTGCAGCCTACAGGAAACCATAGACAGCTGCGATTTCACCTAGCAACACCAGGTCTGGGAACAACATTCTCCCCTCACGACCTGTTTTTAATATCACATCCAATATGGCCGATAGCTCCAGGGCGAGATGTCGCTGACCCTCGGGAAACACTTTTCTGATAAACTTACTGGCTCAGTCCCACGTTTTTAGGCACACTGAAGAAAAGATAAAAGCTGGTGAACTTTGGTTTGGTTTGGTTGAAAGGAGGGTTACCTGAGGTATGCTCATTGGTTCACAGCTTGTGATTGACAAATCATTAGCCGTAAGGATATCCAGCTACCTGGTGGATAATTTAGCTGCACAAATGTTAAATGATGCCGTTAACAGTTATGAAAATAATCCCAAGTTTGAGTTCCTGTATTCTACTCCTTACTCTGAGCTTCAGACAGACAGGCAAGGTCAGGCTTTGTAATTCTATCTTAGGACACCAGCAGCATGGGTTTTAAACCAAAGAGGTCTCTGGCTGATGGACAGATATGTTCAGGGACCAAAAAAAAAAAAAAGATTGAGACACTGCACTGAGAGGAGAAGAGCAGCAGCTGCTAGACTGGCTGGTTTCACCTCCGCCCACTCAGGAGTGGCTTCTTCCTGTGTGCCAGAGCAGGTGTGGTGACATTTTTTAGGTCTGTATGAATGATGCGGAACTTACCAGAACCACCACAGACGTAAATCCCCCCACCGCCGTGTTGATGATTCGATCCTGCAAGAAACAGATCAGATGAGTGCATCACCCTGAGGATTACGCACTGCTGATCAGACCTGATCATTTTCAGCTAAAGTGACTCTAATGAATTACTTCAGTACAAGCAACAGTTAATAAATATTCAGATTAATCCGCTGCTGAAAGTAGTCCTCAGCAGCTTTTGCTCTTTATACACAGCCCAGTCGCTCTCCTGCAGAAACATCAGTAATGGCTGACATCATACCCGAGCGGACGTCTCTCCAAACAGCGGTCTGTTGTCCAGGCCACTCGTGCCATACGTCCTTGTAGTGAAGTCATCCATGGCGGCGCCGGCAGTACAGCCCCGACTGATCGTTTCTCAGCAGCGCCACTTCGTGGAAAAGCTGCGACAGTTCTGCTGCATACTAGCCGTGTCTTTCTGCACGCCGGGGAGAAGACGGTCAGTGTGGGCGGAGCCGTGGGGACATTATAGAGGTGTGGGCTAAAGGGACCAGGTAGGCTGCTGCTGCTCCTCCTTCACTTTAGTGACAGAAAACAGAGACAGTTAACAAGAGGCAGCGTGGGCAGCGCTCCCTGAAAAGCATTAAATATCAGAGTGTCAAAGTTTCTCTCAGAGGAACGACATGATTGTCTGTCAGTAGTGGTCAGCCGCTGCTGCTGCCGCCAATCAAAGGATACGTCAGAAAGATTTACACTGTAGTTCCTCTTGCTTCACTTCCTCTTTGTTTAGGATAGATAACAAACCACAGCTGCTGATATCGATACAGTGAATGGTACAGAAAGAGGAAGCTCAAATCAAAACCTCATAGACTCCTTTAAAGAGCTGTGAGCTACAGCGTGTCGTTAGTCTGGCGGTTCACAGGCCGCTCAGTGAGATCATGAGCCTGTCGCTGCTTGCTCACACGCTGACCTCACTACTTTACAGTGTGACGGAAAACCGGGAGGAGAAGCAGAAAACATCGCTCTGCTTCTGCAGTGAAACTGAAACAAACACCTGCAGCTGCACAGTTCTTATGAACACCATTAATATTTCATACACAGCAGAATTCACTTTATATAGAAAACAAAGTGACAGCTGTGGCTGAGGCACAGAGAAGCCAGCCACATCTGGAAGAAGATTCCACCTGATCCCCCCAGAGGCAGCAATGCCTGTTCTCTATAACAGAAGCTTTGAAACCCCTGTGAGGGATGCAGTGATAAAAACAAAAAATAAAATTAATAAAATGGAACCTCGGGCCCCCCGACTTATAAACCCTCCTGCAGCCTCATTGCCCGTTCCATTTTATTTTCTGTTGTTATAAAAACACCAATAAGGACACATTTACCGCTAAATCTTTACACTGGTGACACAGCGGCCTCCTCCAGGCTCTCCCAGGCTGCAGATTTTCCTGTGTTGCACCTTAATAAAGCCTTTAAAAACACTTAAAGTGTTTATTAGAGAATTCCATCTATAAAGCACGTAGCAGCTTGGAGTTTCGTGCTCGGATTTTAATTTTATCCTGTTTGTTTTTGTTATCTTTGATAACGTTACAAAAATAAAGAGTTTCATCTCAGGAGAGTTCCTGACTAAAGAAAAAACACAAATATAGTTCATGAGTGTTTAAAAAAGGATGAGCATATTAGGAAATTATTTGAACTCAGAGGTCGCAATACTTATTTATCGTATTGTTTTATTACTTGTTATTCTGTTTGTTAAAAAAAACAACAATAACAACAACTACTTATTTATTACTTTTTTTTTTTTTAAGAAATTCTGTTTCTTCATTATTTTGTTTCTTTTAGCTCCGGGACCGTGTGTACATAATTTCGTTCCACCTCATGTTAACATGTGATGGAAATGACAATAAAGCTCCTTGAATCCTGGAAGAGGAGTCTGGTGTCAAAGGTCGGCGGCACCAGCGCACGTTTCTGTCACAGATTTTATCCGGTGTAGTTTCTTCAGACACCGATATCAAAGCTGGTTTTAGGAAAATGAACAAAAGCCAGATGTGGACATTAGACTGTGGTGCCCACAGTGGCTGTCCCACTGATCACTGAGTCACTCCTCTGCAGTCTGAGGGCCTTAACAGGAAATACTGGCAATGTGGAGCTAAACTTTACTAAAGCTATAAAATGTGAGCCTGCAGGGTGACAACATCACCACATGGGCACAGATGCATCCTCTCAGCAGATTCAAGCACCACTTTCATAAAGGCGGCTGCAGACGTTTCTTCTTTTCTGGGTGAGAAGGCGGCAGGAAAGGAAATAAAACCCTCAGCAAAGCTTTCTCAGCAGAAAAAACAAGAGTGCAAAACAACAGCTCCTTTATCACCGAGCGTACGGTCGGCCCAAGGCGACATTCCTCCTAAGCCTTGTGATTCACTAGGCCGCTTAACAAGAAACCCTGAGTCTGAACAGAGGCACCGAAAAACAAAAATGACACCCCGATAAAGGAAGAACGCAAACACAGCAGCTTCATACTGGCACAAATCAGAGGAAAATATCGAAATCTGCACTTTAAAACACATGAAGACACACCAGGACTGATACAGGCAAAACTGAGGAGGAGAGAGAGGTTGTGTAGTCATAAAACAGTGGTCATTCTCAGAGTACAGCGAGAATTTGCCAGGAAAAAGCATAAGGCTATAACATCAGATTTATGAGCAGAAAAACTGTAAAATCTTTGTCAAATGTGTGCTGCTTTAATATGTACGATTTTCTCACAAACCTCTGACTTTAGAAAGTTTTTAAACTCATCAAACATGATTAAAACTGATTTTTAAACTCTATTCCACTGTAAATGCCACGTTTCTGAGATCACTTGTGTCGATCTCAGACAAAATGTGGCGCGACAGTTGAGTGCGCCTGCGTTTTCACGGTACAAACACACGGGTGTTATCTGATGTCCTTTCTTTGCTTGTGTCGTGCACACTTCAATCATCCTGCTCTTGTGCAACTGTGGCACCAGCAGAAAGGTTCCAAGGAGCACTCTCGATAGGAACCACGTTCCCACAGCTGTGATCGATCAGCTTTAACCTGGACAAATGTTTGTAGAGTGCTACACGTTTTACAGAGCTCAAAGCTTAATAAATGTAAACAGTGTGTTACTGTAATGAAAAAAGCACAAACAGCGAAGTCCCATGTGATGAAGGTTTGATTATTTACCTCTGAAATGTTAGCAGGACCACAGTTTTGGTCAAAAACGTCTCTCTTGTCAGTAATGGTTGGTTTCAAGTTACAGGGACATAAAACCACAGACAAGCTGCATAAAAATAAACAAAAACACGGGGAATTACTGAAAATAACTTGTTAGCAATCATTATTGTTTCAGTAAATACCAATTTCCAGAAATCTCAAAGTCTTTAGCATTGAACTGTCCTCCAACACAGAGAAATTAAAGAGCTTTAATCTGCTTTGAAAACATAGTCTGACTCAAATTGATGCTGTGCACTCTGCGGGCTCAGTATATAGCTTATCGTGTCTGTAATCGCTCAAGTTCACTCAAAACAGCTCATTAGCTTCACCTGAGGGTTAACGACCATATGTTAGCACTACGAGGAGAAAACGCTGGAGAAGCGCTCGTATCTTATCCATTAATATTATTAAGCATGCATAGAAATGGAAAGAAGACGGTAACCTTAAAGCTGCCTTCAGTAGTGTAAGCTAACCTGAGATTTACCCGTGATAGGGCCAGCACCGAAGCGGGTGATCTGAGCTAAGCTAACTCCAAACAACTGCTCCCCGGCTGCTCGAGAAGAGCCCACAAATTTACCAAAAAATCTTCCTCTAATCTAAATCTTCCAGTGAAACATACCTGCCTCCCACTTCTGTGTTGACTCTACTGGAATCAACTTCAGAGCGATCGGGGTCACAGTTAAAGGGAATTAAAGCCCGGCAGGTCCGCATCGAGCTGTTATCACAGCCGATCTGTAAGATAGCCATTCCACTTCCTGTCGGTCCCACTGTACTCAAAATGGCTGCACTTCACCCTGGAGCGCAACAGGGGGCGCTCCTCAGTGAGCAGGAGTGAGTGTAGATACACGGCTAAAATAGTTGCTTAGACTTGCTTATTGCTTTAAAAGGTCACATTTTATTGTATTTTTTGGTTACACCGTATTTATTCTGCGTCTGAATTGAAATTAAACGGCTCTACGTTTTAGTTTTTCACGCTGTGAAACAAATTTACCTATTCTGCCAATGCTTGCTGAGTTGCCTGGTAAGGTATTTACGACAGTAGGCAACTCTTGATGGCACATATGTATGGACGATAAACATGCGTACATAAAACATAGTGGAAACGTTTAAGTGTTCAGAATATTTAGTTGACTGAGATGAGTGAACGTAATGGTACAAAGAGGTAGCTGCTACAAATTCTCTGATGCTGCCGCCTTCTTGCCTGAAATCAAAATGGCTGCTGCCGTAAAGTTGCTAATGGTGCTGTGACGTCCCTAATAAGCACAGAAATGCTTTTTTAACTGCACTTGAAACCTGTAAAAAATTAAAGTAGAATGATGTTTGTCATTGTAAAAACATATTTGTTTAAAAATACGTTGAAAATTTTTAGAAGATAATTGTAACAAGGCAACATTTACATTTTTGTGTCGCCGTCCATTGCGGACTAGCTCACGAGCGCCCTCTAAGAAACACCAAATACAAAATGTCGGGAGTTCCAGTTTCCATTAAAAGCTCTCTGCTGTTAAAGGCGAGTGGAATTATTGTTGGGCCGACGCTTAGGCCGAACTCCATAAAAACCAACAAAACAAACAAACACACAAACAAAACTGGCAATTTGAAAGCCGTTTATAACCAAAAGCGCCGTGTCTAAAAAAAGTAAGAGTAATGTAACAGTGGCCACTAATAGGCACGGCTATTTTAACAAATTGTTTTTTAAATTAAGTTTTTTGCAGTTTAACCCGGTAAATATATTATTTTATACAAAACATTTCTTTAAAAAACAAACAAACAACGATTTCAGGTAAACAAAAACGATTTTTTAAAAATTGGATATTTAAAAGCAAAATTTTCCCGTAATAATTTCAGCACCCTACTAAGTTAAATCACTCAAACTCTGAATGGAGTTCGGTGTGAAGAATAAAAGACTTCTGTCATAGCAACTTAATTAAAGCAGTCCTGTAATATGAGTAGTGGTATTTCACTCACCTCCTGCCTGTAGCAAGGCCGGATCAACTTTCTTTAATTACAAGTTAATAAGCATAAACACATCCAGGGGCAGCTAAATAACCACTGGGTTTGATTTGAGGTGGGGGAAGCCTGAGATCTGAGAAGCAGTGGGCCCATACATAATCTCACCCCTCATGTTAGCATCACATGAGGGCAGTGTGACAAGCCCTGAGATTAACCCCAGCAAAACAGACCCAAAGAAAGAGAAACTCATGCTTGCTTGAAATCTGTTCTAGAAAATAAATTCCTGCAATGACGTAACTGAAGCATTTTCTCAGAATACAACTTCACTTCAAGATAACGTGACTCACTTTCGGGCATTGAGTCTAACTTCTTACACAAGCATTATTATCTATAACCATCAGTAAAACTGTTTGTTTGATAATTAAATCGGTTTTTCTAACTACTGTCTAACTCTCGTGGAAATAAAAACCCTATTATTTTCATATTATATCAGCTCAGATGGTTTACAGGGTTAGAAAACTGTGTGCTCAGTGCTGAATTAATTCATCTGTTAAAGAATATGATTATATATATATATATATATATATATATA